CTGAGGAGCACATTTTTCAGGTAGAAAAGACTGTATATACACTTTACTGATGGTATTTCACTCTTCTGAAATTAAAATACAAAAGAGGTGTCAAAATTTCACGACTTACAAAATCATAATTACTAAATTCTTAATGAAGAAAGACTGTTGTTTAGCTAATGCTGTATTTCAGGTATTATCTCTTCAGCTCTGTTAAGTGTCATTCTCACAGGAAACACTGCAATTAGGAATGAAGTGTTTTTGTGAAAGTTTAGAAAGTTTCCAAAATGATAAGTATCCTTTCTGCCAAGTTTATTGGTAATTAAGAGTGTCCATTTGATGAATAGAAAGGAAGTCCTGGAGCTTGGGGTCTAATTTTCAGGGCATTTTGGATCTAGGTGTTAGATTTTATGTGGGAAATTTAGTCAAGTTATTTTATTGTTTTAAAATACTTAGTTCATTGGGTAATGAAAAAAGAAAGAGGAAGTGAACTTTAAATGAGTCACTGAAACTAATGATTATTAATGGTATTTGTAACAGATAAGTAGAGGAAATGAGCAGTTATACGATATTTGGAATGGCAGTAGTTGGCATTCCACAGTCATAAGAGGTAGTTGAGAAGGGACTATGACCATGGCAAAGATGCTTTGATTTTTAGACGAATTTTATAGTTCTAACGCTTTATTCCTGAAGCATCAGACTGTTAACTTGACATCTAACTTGAACATTAGCTGTATTTTACAAGTTTTTGAACAAGATTATGTCCACTGTCTTAACTATATTTTACTCTGACTTTGGATGACCATCCATCCTAGATTGTCTGAGTCTGGGAGGTTTCCTGGACATGGGACTTGCAATATCGAAACCAAGAAAACCTCAGGGAAACCTGGACGGCTGGTCACCTTATTTTCATTTCTAAATTAATAGAATGGAGGCAATATTTACATGATTAGAAAGGTATTTAATAATACTATAAATTCTTTACCCTTAAACTTTAGATACTTGGAACTTTAAAAATACAAATGCCAAGAAAACATTTCTTTTATAGAAAGTTAGCTTGATATTTTTGTTTAATTGCTTTGGAAATTTAAAGTTAAATTGATTTTGTGGTCATTTAAGGAAAAAAAAATCTTAATTTACCCTTTAGTCAGATAGATAACTCCAACCATCTAGTTGACATGCTGTTAATGAAAATGATAGGAAAAAAATAATGAAAAGGCTGGGAATCAATTATTAACTTAAAAAAAGTTATCAGTGGGGGAATTCTGGGAAGATAAACATTAATAGCCAATGCTTTTAAAAAATACTAAGCAAATAGGAAAATCGTCATTTTCTTTGCACTTAGTTTTCTGAATTGTGTGATATTTGTCTTATTAGAAGTAAATGGCCCAGTGATTGTTGCATAACTTTCTTTCTTTAAAAAAGTAGCAATCATATGGTCTGACCCTTGAAATTTTATAATGTTAGAACTTTAAAAAAATTTATCACCATACTTCAATTTACAATTTACATTTTCTTTTCTTTTTTTAAGTAAGGTTTAACAAAATAATATCAGGAATCTAATTACAGGCTTAACTGTGCTGTGTGCTAATCTTTATTCTGAATTCACTTTAGGTATCAGCCTACTTTTATGAATAAGGGGCACTTAAGTTAATTGCTTCATTAGAAACATGCATTTAGTCCTTTCTGATCTGTAAGTACAACTCCTTGGCATAGCTGCAGAAGTTTGAACACCTGCAGTCCAAGCAGCTTGAAAAGAAGCCGTAACTTACTATAAAGGAAAATAAAAGACGCTCAAGTTCAAAATGGTGTTATCAATGATATAGTGTTGTCACTAACTTGAGCTGACCTAAGAGAGTTGGCTTCTGCACTGCTCCTTATCAGCATCCAAAAGGGCATACAAAATTCTTTGTAAACTAATTTAAAAAGCGTCTTGTTTATTCAGAGGCAACTGTGAATGGTATTTGTTCAGAGTGTAGATCACATCAACTGCATACCAGCCAACAACTTATTTCTCTTCTAAGAAGGAAGCCAAGTATCAAAGACACAAAGTACTAAAGATAAGCTTCTCAATTCTCAACTGTTCTGAGCTCTCAATAAAGCTACTGAAATACAAATTGGGGTGGGACTCAACTGTTTCCACCTGCAGGCTTCTCTTAGATCCTTGGCTCTGGCTGGGAGAGGTGCCGATTCTAGTGCGACCTTTAGTGCCCTTAGAGAACAAAACACACGCTTTCTTATGGCCCTAATCAATCAGTCCCTCTAAAGAGGATTGCACCCCTTTCTTCAAGTATTTGGGGCAGAAAAACTATGGCCGACTATTCCCATTTACAGGGCTGCTGGAAGCAAAGAGATCATTGGTTTGCTCTTAGGATTCTTGAAAGACTGGCAAGTCATCCTTTTTCCTATTTTTGTGGTTGGTTCTTAGATATTTTGTATTTGATATTTAATGAGGGGGTGACTTCAGTAAGTAGAAGAATGAATTTCATTCAAAAGTCATTCAGATAAAACATTATCAGGAAATTAAAACTCAGTTGATAGAGAGAAATCATCTGAGGTTACTGAGGCACAAAGTATTTTTAAGATACTGAGTGGTCACATTTGGGCTCTTAATGTTAAGTGCTTAAACATGACTCACAGGTAGCATCCAAAGGTTCAAAACTGAGTTTAGTGAAATAATGGAATCTTTAAAATAAAACAATTTAATTTTAGCTGTGAGTACGTAGAGTTGATCAGAAAACTGGAAAATACTTGAAACACAAATAATTCTAAGATGTTAAAACTAATCCGACCCCCAAATGTCTATTTAACATTACTGAAATTAAAGCCCTTTATGTCATTGTGAAAGTAGAATGAAACATCTGGAATATTGAATTTTAAACTGCTTTGTATAATTAGCAGTTTGTCACTTGTTTCAAATATGGTGAAAAATAGCAGTGAAACCAATTGCTGTTTTAGAGGAATTTTAAGCGCTGAGTTTTCTTTCCACAAAGTTACATTAATTGCTAACAATAGCCATGCTTCTTGAGACATATTTAAGAAGGAAAAGCCTGTGCAAGTGTCTCTTTGTGTTTGTATATAAATTCTAGAGAGGCAAAAAGTGGCCTTCAAAAGTAGTTTCTAGGGGCGCCTGGGTGGCTCAGTGGGTTAAAGCCTCTGCATTTGGCTCAGGTCATGATCCCAGGGTTCTGTGATTGAGCCCCACATCGGGCTCTCAGCTCAGCAGGGAGCCTGCCTCCCCCTCTCTCTCTGCCTGCCTCTCTGCCTACTTGTGATCTCTGTCTGTCAAATAAATAAATAAAATCTTTAAAAAAAAAAAAAGTAGTTTCTATTACCTCCCGCTCCGAAGTCATGGGTTTGGGAGCCTATTAGAATTATGTAAATCTCTATGTGTCTTTTTCGATGATTGGCATGGAAAAATAGTAATACACATTTTCCAGTAATTTTCAAATTTAAGGATTACAGAGCATGTGGATAATTAACTGCATTAACACTTAATAGTGTTTTGATTAATTGATTTAAAAGAAATTTATTCACAAATGGAAAACACATTTCAGAAGTAAGCATACTGAGGCAAAAAAGACCTCAATGTAGGAAAAATTTTCAGTAAATGAAATATGTAGAAATAATTACATTTTTTAGTGGATGATGTAGTCAAACCTACACATTTACATATTTTTAACACATAAACATACTTAATTGGTGTGGCTACAAGTATGATTATTTTAAAGCTTGGTCTTTTAGTGGGAGGAATAATAAACAGTCTTCTGAGTACACTTTAGGTAGAAGTTAGAATTATTATTAATTTACCAATTTGGAGGTATCTTACACTCTTAATTTTAGATACTTTTTTTCTTTTATTCTGGAAATTGCCCTGCTTCCTTGCGCTTTTTACTGTTAAGGTAGAATAGCTCTAGCATTCTATAATTAAGCATCCCTCCCACTCCCAGAAGATAGAGATCTGTAGTAAGTTAGTTTTGTTTTGTGAAGAGCTGACAAAGTGAGTTGTTTTTATTTTCATATTCAGTTGTGTGAAGAGCTGACAAAGTGAGTTTTTCATATTTAATTGTTTTTATTTTCATATTCAGCTGTTAATTGAGAAAAATAATATGCTTTATTTATGAAAATAATTTTAAATTGAGAAAGCAAAACTGATTTAAAAATTTGCTCTTGTTAAAACTTATTCAGTTGTCAGTGAAGTGCCAATTTACTTTTGGATTTTTATAGCATATTATAAATCTATATCTATCTATATATATATAGGTCATAAAAGTTGAAGCAATTTTATACTCTTCTTCCCAAATAAAAGATTAAAGAATTTTTTTTTAGCTTTTTCAGGATTATCTAGGAAGAGATTCATGCTTTGTGATTAAAGAATAATTCTCTGTAGTTTTTCATCTTTGGAAGTTTATGCTTTGTTCCTGGCTTTGACTTTTTGTAATCTTTTTTCTTTGCATGTTTGTAATTTTTAGGGTATTTTTGTTTTGCATGTTAGCCTCTACAGCTTAAGCATCTCTTAATGAAGTGCACATGGTCAAGGGATATTCCAGTTTTAGAAAAAATGCAGTTATTTGCTTTGAACCAAGTATATGTCGTACCACAGTTTGGTAAGTGAGGTCAGTCTGGGCAAGGTTCTAGAGTAAATTACCAGAAGAATGGTTTTTGAATTCATAGAAGAAGAAACTTGAGTGATTAGAAATGAAATTGGGATCAGTAAGAAAAGTCTTTACTCTTCATATTGTTGGCTATAGTAATTTTTTTTTTTCAGCATTCAACTTGGGCAACTCATTTGCCATTTATGGACCTCTGTTTTTCTCATCTGTAAAAATTACAAATCAGTATTGAATAGAACTGTGATTTACTGAGTTTTGTGGTTGGCTAGCTATTACGTGTTTTTTTTGTTTTGTTTTGTTTTGTTTTACTTATTTCCTTGGTGCTTTGTGTAGCTGAGAGACCAATGTACAAAGCATCACTATTTGACAGTTTCTTGCAAAAATATTAATTTTATTCTTTTATAACAGGTGACCAGAAATGGAGAGAAAAGTAAGCAGAATCTGTCTTGCTTCTGAACCTGATATAATTCATTTTCTACAAGTGGCTTGGGAGAAAACATTAGGATCTGGTTTTGTTATTACACTTACTGATGGTCAGTCAGCATGGACCGGGACAGGTAATATTCAAAACAAATTGTTTTAAAAATAAAATTTTGATAATGTGCTGTTCTTCAGTCCTCAGTGAGAATTCAGAATTAAGGTATTTCTTTAGTAGATTCTGAGTAAAATTTATATGACTGCTGTACTTGTTATTGCTCTCTAATATACGAGTGAATTTATAATATTTAATGCCAATTTCTATAATGAATAGAAGGATAGAGAAATAAGCATGTGCCCCAGCAAATTCTGGTTACTAGTTAAATCTTCATACTTGGGCTGGTCAGGGTTTTTAAATGATCTCTTTATACAAAACGTAGATAGTACTTTATACACTTCTTTTTTTTTTTTTTTTTTCACCCCAAGACCCCAGGGAAATATGGGAGGCATAGAGAGGTGGTTTGGCTGGGCCAAGGGATGGTGCTAGCTTGGTGGAGTGGGGTGGTGGTGATTTTCTTTTTATTTCAGACACCTACATTGTTTGAATTATTTTCTAGTGAACATGTATTACATTTGTAACAAAAACAAAACAGTTTTAGAGATTTTGTAAACCAAGGTTCAGATCTTCATGTGGGATTTTGGCTTTTATTTCATGAAAAAGACTTTGAATCTTTTGTGTCTCTTGCAGTACTCTTTTAAAAAGCCTCATGGCCCAGAAATTATTTATGGAACATGGCAGGTGTAAAGTGAAAATATATAGAATTATGTTTTGCTCATATGGTGAAGTTTTCATGCTCTTCTAAAACATTTTTTGAAACATTTGAGAAACTGTCTACAGTTATGCAACAGTCATTTCTAGAGTTATGTTGTAAATTACGTTTTAGGGAAAATAATTTTGTCATGTCAATTTACATGTCATTTATATGTTTTATTAATTTTGAAATATTTCCCTAAAACTTGTTACTATAATTATTATATCATCTTTTAAAATTACATGGTGAAGTTTTGTTTTTTGGATATTACAAATTCTGTTACATAGTACAGTCACACTGAACTTATACTTGCAGAGTTTTTAATAAAACTCTTCTTTTATGACAGAGAGCAAGGAATGCTGGTTTAAGTAGTAATGAAATAGAGAAATTTCAAGGATAATGTTTGCAGTACCTATTATGGCATCTATTTAAGCTGTAAACTTCTATGTAAGAGAAACCAGTCATTGCTTGGTTGTTACCATGGAGGAGTGGAAGAGAATTTTTCACGTTAGCTCTATGTATGCTAGTATACCCAGGTGGCTATAGCTCTGTTTTAGAAAGGGGGTGCAAACGGCTGAAGATAATGGCAGTAGGTTAATGTCAGTTGTCTGGAGAGAAGAGGAGTTCCAACCAAACAGCCCAGGAGGCAGATCCTATGTGAAATGGTTGCTTGTATGTAAGGAATACTGTATTTATAACTTAGATGTTCCCAACTGACAAATGCCTTATTGTGTATAATGAGTTATGATTAGACAGATGACCTTGAGATGCTATGTTGTTTGCATTTTTTTTTTTCCATTAAGGATTGGGGATAAAAGAATACACTGATTAAGTTTTAAATCTCGATTTAACCAGAAATTCAAACTGAATTTACATTTATGGAGCAATTTGTGTATGTCATAATGTGCTGGCAGTTGTTCTTAATATTATTATTATTTTGAATATTGTTTCACTAGATTCATTTGAAGCAAGGAATGCATCTGATTTGTCTGTCACTCATTCTTTATAAGTACCTAGACCAGTGCCTGAGACCTCCATGTTCAATAGATATTCTTTAAAAGGATGCCTCAAATGTGTAGGACTTTTTAGGGAATAAAGAAAGTGAACCATTTATTTTAGAATTAGCATTTTTGATGAAAACTCCAGTTTCATATTTATTTATCGTTGGCATTGATCAGAAATATAGTATGCTTTGCCATTTGTTTTTTAGCTAATGAATAATGTGAGCAAAATGTGATAGAAAACTTCATATCCTTTGTTGTGTTGTTAAAATTTGGTTTGCTTACTAACCAGGCTTTCAGACAGAAAATTTTACAGTGCACCATATATGGTTGTTTTATTTCCAAGGATACTAAAGTTTTGAAACTCACAAATGTTTTATGTATTTTTCAGTATTCATTTCTATTTTCTTGTATAAATTTCAGGGACAAAGTATCAAACTAAATAATATAACATTGTTTCCATGATTAGTTGAAACTTATTACAGGAATATGATTTGGCTTGGCACTTTATAGATAGACAATAACATGATTAAGAACATTGAAATAATTACATAATTGAAACATGAAAATGGATTTCCTTCCTATACCTCATCCTGTTTTTTTGTACAACTTTTTGATTGCTGCAACCTTCAATTTGGATAATTTTTTTTCTCTTTTCATTTGAGTAAAATTAAAAGGATGTGGGGTTTCTTTTAATCTCCCACACACTAAATTCACTGATTTCTTTTCCATTAGTAATGTTTTATCTAATGAGTGTTTTGAGGTCTAATTATCATGTGGTTTATCATCACTTCAACATTATGGAGGGTTGTATCGCACAGTGAAGTCACAAAGTAGGTTAATGATTGATGACTATTACATGAACTTTATAAATCTATCAGCACTAAGAAACTTACCCATCTCTGGAGTAGTTCACTGAAAAGTAAACTTTATTAATACATTTATTTGTTTATTTATTTTTAAAGATTTTATTTATTTATTTGACAGACAGAGATTACAAATAGGCAGAGAAGCAGGCAGAGAGAGAGGAGGAAGCAGGCTTCCCGCTGAGCAGAGAGCCCTATGCGGAGCTCGATCCCAGGACCCTGGGATCATGACCTGAGCCAAAAGCAGAGGCTTTAACCCACTGAGCCACCCAGGCGCCCCTACTAATACATTTATTATCAAGTAATTATATTCATTTATATTTGTTCTAATCATTGATATTTGGTGACCTATATGGCGATTATGTGTCAGAGTACAGGGGAAAAAGGATTTTTAGTAAATGCAGTGAAGTAGGGCCATGATGTGATACCAACAAGATCTGTAAAGGGATGCTAAGGCTGTCATTAAAGCACCAACACAGACTTAGGTTATGCACAGTCTTCGGTTCATTATCCGTAAAGATTCAAAAGAAAAAATCTTTCATTGCTTACATCTTCATCTACCCACAAATAGTGTTAAAATGATGCTTTCTTGGATCCTATGTATCTGAGAATAATTCCTTGGTTTTTGGTCATGTTGGCCTGCTTACTTTTTATGCTATTATTATGTGGTTCAGCTGTATCCTTGCTGAATTTTATTATTTCCATGGCTTTTATTTCTGGTCACCAGAGTTTTTGGAGCAGTGAGTGCTTACAGCTGTGCTTCTTCGAGATGTTCTTAGCACAAAATTCAAAACCAGTGACCGAGTTGTGTTTCCAGAATTGAAGTTCTGAATATGCAGTCAAAATTTCACATTTACTATTAATGGAAATATTCAAGTGAATTTTTTTCTTAAATTTTTCTCACAGTTTTTAAAGGGAAGTATAAATAGAAAATTTTCTTTCATATTTTTTCTCTTAGAAATGAAATATTCCATAATAATAGAACAGCATTCACAGATGGTATAACATAAGAGAATATCTAAGATGTCAGCACCTGAATTAGGCTGTATGAGGCTGGAATTTCTGTCTTTTAAACTTTTGTGTCCTTGGTGCCTAGAATAGTACTTGGAACATAGTAGATACTGAGTAAGCAGTTTTAAGTAAGTGAATTAAACCAATAGATGCTATGAAATATTTTCAGATATGTATCTTTTCATTTTATTGAAATTTAGAGTGCTTTTCACTGGATGTTTTATCAATAGGTATCCTTTCTTTCTTTTTTTTTTTTTTAAGATTTTATTTATTTATTTGAGAAAGAGAGATAGAGGGAGAGAGTGTGAGCAGCAGAAATAGGGAGAAGCAGGCTCCCCACTGAGCAGGGAGCATAATTTGGGCCTCGATTCCAGGACCCTAGGATCATGACCTGAGCTGAAGGCAGATGCTTAACTGACTGAGCCAACCCAGGCACTCTCTTTTGTGTTTTCTGTAGTTACATTAAAGATGGTTTCCACAGATTTATTTCCTGTTCTCTGTGAAATATTTTCTCTTCTTCGGTATTTATAACTCTTCAGAATTACCCAACACAAAATATGATATTATTCTTTAACTAGGAAGCATTAGTCTTCTTATTTTTGTTTCTCTCTCTCTCTTTTTTTTTTTTTTTTTTCCAGAAGAGCTATTAGGGTAATTGAAAGGTCACTAGATTTGATAAATAGATTTGATAGTGGTGATCATCTTAAATATGCATCTGCTTCAAAGAGAGACAGAATATATGAAAGGATTTTAGAAGCTGTAACATCAAATAAAGAATATAAAAGTTTTTGTTCATACCTTTTTTCGACATCTGTTTTGAGATTCATATTTCACTATCAGAAATGACCAAAAGTAGATAATGAAAAATATATGGATATGTTTCAAAATTCTCTTCCTCTTTGCCTGTCATGGGGCTTCCAGACGTACTTGATAGCATACAGACCAAAGGTATGAAAATCTGTGTTATATTTTTAGGGTTTCTTTCGTCAAGCTTTCATTAATTTCTGTAGTATGTCCTATTGTGTTTTTTAATACCATGGAAGGAAATAGTTTTTCCAGTGTCCCCTATCTGCCTCATCACAAAACCAAACAACCACGAGACCATAAGTATGAATCCCAGTTTGACCACTTAATCTATTCTGTGACTGTAGACCATTACTTGATCTGAGCATCAATTTTATCATTTGAAACATCTTTCAGTGTTACAAGGAATAAAATAGATAAATGTAACCTTTAAGTATAAAAGTATAGAACCACATGAGTCTTTCATCATTGTACTAGCCTGAATTGACACAGGAAACCACTCAACCACACGCATGCATTCCAAACAAATGTTAGACTAAATCTTGTAATTTTAAAAGCAAACAGACCCATTGCAGTTTGGGATGTAAGAAAGGGAACCCTCCAGGTGCCATCTGTGAAAAGATATCTGAAAACCAAAGTGGTTAATGGGAGCTAAAGCTTAAGTTTAGGTTCATGGAATATCTGAACTGTGATTGTAATACCTAAGTGGAGTGGAATGTTGAGACAGCAGGCCTCTTAAGGAACTGGAATTGAGCTCCCAATGTTAAGAAAGGAAACTGGGGGACGCCTGGGTGGCTCAGTCATTAAGAATCTGCCTTAAGCTTGGGTCATGATCTCAGGGTCCTGGGATCGAGTCCTGCATCAGGCTCCTCCTCAGTTGGGAGCCTGCCTCTCCCTCTGCCCTCCCCACTGCTTGTGTGCATTCTCTCTCTCTCTCTCAAATAAATAAAATAAAATCTTAAAAAAAAAATGGAAACTGAAAGGTATCTTGTTAATGAAATCATCTTAAAAAAACAAAACAAGACAAAACAAAAAACAAAAGACTAGTCTTTGGTTTGAAGATGCAGCATAGAGTCAAACTAGTCACTAAGAGCTATGAGTAGATAAAAGTCTGGACAAAAATCAGAATCCAAAGTCTGTGTTATGTATGGATGAAGGACAGGGGATTTAAGGATGAACTCTTTGCTTCCAGTGTAAAAACCAAGTTAAGAAATTAACTTTCAAAACTGGTCCAGAGCTGTTGAAACCTGTAGCGGCTCCAACAAAGGTAAACTAGTAATCTTGATTCAAGGCCACCTCTATTGCCCAGAGCAGATTATACTCTGGCTAGAGGAAAGCCTTGTTCAAACATTGCAAAGCACGAAAGGGTAAAAACAGAATGAGAAGGTGTCAGCAGTAGAAATAGAATTAGTAGTCCAGGAACCATGTATAAAGACTGATCTGAAAGAGATCTTAAATATGTTTAAAGCCTTCAAATATTTAAAGGAAGGGTGTGTCAAGAACAGGATATTATGATAAAGAAAGAGAATATCTGTCTAGAATTGAGAATGTAATTGCTGAAGTAAAAATCTCTGTAGATGAGTAAAGCATCAGCTTTCAGCATACCTAGAAGACAGAACTGGAAGCTGGATCTGTAATGTAATGTGTGTCTAACAGGCTACACTCAATAAATATTAATTCCCTTCATTTTCGTTCCTCATCCCCTACCTTCATCCACCTTTTCTACTTTTTGGCACATAATGAGATGAGAAGAATGAACTCCATTTTTACTTTAATTTGACTCAGTCCATGTGAGTGAGAGGTAGATTATAGAGTACTTAATCTCATTAATAACTGAGGCAAAGAAGAAAGATGTTATAAAATACTGAACTTATTAATCATTATAAGAAATAATTTATCTGGTTTTGACCTAGGAGCAGGCATATAGATGGTAGTTTTTCTAGTAATTTACAATGCATGTATTTCATCAGAGGACAGAGCAAAAAAATGCAAGGAGTCTAATGTTTTTGAGATGAGATTTGAGACTAAATTAATGTGTTTCTCAAAAATTTCTAGCTCAGTTAAGAGGTATAATTTGGCTTAAAAATTTGTGGTATGGGGATTGGTTTTACCTTTTATTTAAATTTCTGTTACATAAGTGATAAATTAGTAGCGACAGGTAAATAAGTGTGTACTCATGTTTAGAAATTTATTTTTCATTTCAAAACTTTTTATTAATGTTTCCCATAGTTTCTGAGTCAGCGATTTCCCAAGAAGCTGATGACATGGCATTGGAAAAAGAGAAATATGTTGATGAACTGAGAAAAGCATTGGTATCAGGAGGAAGACCAACTGATGCATATAAATTCGATTTTTCTAGAGAGTATTGTCATTTCTCCTTTGAGAAAAACCTGAAAGATGTTTCAGTAAGTAAAACTTTCTGTAATATTGTAAGTGGTAAAATGTCAGAGCACTTATTGAGGAATTATCTAAGTAACTAGCTTATTATTCCCAGGATACCTGGGAAATAGAAGTGTAAAAAGTACTTGGTTTTCAAGTTGGAAGAATGCTTCTTCATTCAACATTACAGTCATTAAATGCTTCATACTAATTAATTGTGGAAAGTACCTATTAGAAAATGTATTTAGTTTTTAATGCCTTAAAAAGAAATATTAAAAAGATAATTATATGAATGAGCAGTTGTGCCAAGTGGGGTCAGAAACTTTTAGACCATTGAGACAGGGTTTATTGTAGTAAGTTTTGGGAAATACTGCTTTTAAGAAAGAGGGGAATAGGGCACCTGGGTGGCTCAGTGGGTTAAGCCTCTGCCTTTGGCTCAGGTCATGATCTCAGGGTCCTGGGATCGAGTACCGCATCGGGCTCTCTGCTTGGTAGGGAGCCTGCTTCCTCTTCTTTCTCTCTGCTTGCCTCTCTGCCTACTTGTGATCTCTCTCTGTCAAATAAATAAGTAAAACCTTTAAAAAAAAAAAAACCTTTAAAAAAAATGAAAGAAGGGAATATATTTACCATTGAATATTTAATAATTATAATTCATTCTCTACTAGAATGTATTCACAATTACAAAATGAGATAGTTAAGTGTAGGAAGACATATCATCAGGAATTAAGGTGTTTTATTTATATAGCAAACTTAGAAATACTAAAAGAGAAATAACATTCACCCCGGGCTTTTGAAGGCTTGCATGCTTTACAGACAAGGATATCTGCTACTTGTCTTGTTTAGTTCTTATACCAATTCAGATCAAGGTAGGTGGTTTATGTATCAAAAATATTTATTAAAATGTACTGTTTATATATTTTACCCAAGTTTATGGGTTAATTAGAGATTGAATTATTTGCTTTTGCCAGTGGCTTATATTCTGATATCAGGTCTTTAGTAGAAGAAAGGGTATGGAAATCTTAAGCACATTAAGGGTAGAGACAGTTATTGACAATTTGTGCTGGAACTAAATTGAGTTTAAAAAATTCCTTGAAAACGACTCTTTAATTCAGAATGATTAAAGGGATTTCACCAAATAGAGAAACATGTAAAGCAACAGATGGAATCATTATTTTGAAATGTATGTTAACCTATAGAGGATAATACAGAGAGTCTGGCTTCAGTAATTATTTCTGTTTAGAAGATACATACTTTTTCCATTTACCTGCCAATTTATGTAAGTTTCACTATGTGGGGTCCTTAAAATGGTAATTTAGAACGGGTTAAGAAAAGTTTGAAGGGACTGCTGAAATTTGGTTATTTATTACAAAACGTTCTTTCCTATGGTGAAACACAATCAGATGATGTTACGTGCTTTAAAATTGCTGAGTGTTTCTTCTAATATTTTGAAACAGATCATTGTCAAATTGGGAGTTATACCATTTCCCATTCAACAAACATTTGTATGAAATGACTTAAATTAGGGGGTTTGCTGCATCGGAGTTGGACGGAGTACTTACCGTGCTTGGCAGTACATCTGACTTTGCTGCTTTTGTGAAGAAAGAACTTCAAATATTCATGACCTACATGTTTTACAATTGGCTTGGCATGAATCAGCGTTAAGAACACTGACAGTTATCCTAAAAGATGCTTGCTTACCACCCTGAACAGAATCAAATTTACCAAGTCAGAACCATGAACCGTGAACCTATTCAACGGGTTTTCTCAAGAAGTGAAAACAGAATAGGAGATTCCCAGTAATGCAGAAGTGCGTTGGTTCCTTAAAGGATATGTCTTAGAGCACTACAGTGCAGTTTAGGTAGCTGCCTCCTTATTTATCATCTATTAAATTGCTTATGAGAGAAAGAAATGCTACTCTCAGAACAGTTGGACGAGTTTATTCATGACTGGACTTACTTGAGGGGTATTTTTGGGTATTTAAATGAAGTAAAACTTTTCACTTTGCGGTGCTGTAGTCAGCTTTATGGATGCAGATGAAAATCACAAATTCATTTGGCCAAACTGCCGTGGGAATCTTCCAGTACTTCAGGATGTGCTTATGCAAATTGAATTTCAGAGTGACAATATCTTGTAAATTCATCTGCTGGCAAAAATATGCACACAATTGGAAACATGGAAGAATACTTTTTAAGGCTTATAGTGCTTTGGATGACCTAAAAATTTAAAAGGAATTTGCAATCCTTTCCTTGATGACACAGACATCTGATTGTTGCCAAAAATGACCTCTTATACTTAGAAAAAAAGAAAAGAATGAACATAGATGCAATTCAGAAAGTTGTAGTGAATTCTGTTGTTTGTTGACATAAGGTTACTCTCCCATGGCAAAAAATATTCCGTGAGCCCTAAGTACATTTACTACCAGATTCAGACTCTCAGAATCATGGTTTTTCAGCATTTTCAGCATTTGTTGCCAGAAATTTTATGTTTTTAATTTTGTGTTGGAGATCACTGCGTAATTTGAACATTTTGAGTATTCAAGTCATATGAGATTTACTTAAAATTTATATAAAATGTTCCTTTTTTAAAAAAACTTTTTTTTTTTTTAGAGGCATCTGGCTTGCTGAGTATGTTGAGTCTTGATCTGGGGTTGTGAATTCAAGCCCCGTGTTGGGCATAGTGCTTACTTAAAAAAAAAAAATTCTTTAAAGGAAGTAACTACTGATTTTTGTACTCAAAAAGACCTGAGTTTCTGGGGGCATCTGGGTGGCTCAGTGGATTAAAGCCTCTGCCTAGGGCTCAGGATCCTGGGATCGAGCCCCGCATTGGACTCCCTGCTTGGCGGGGAGCCTGCTTCCCCCTCTCTCTCTCTGCCTACTTGTGATTTGTGTCTGTCAAATAAATAAATAAAATCTTAAAAAAAAAAAAAAGACCTGAGTTTTTAAAAATATTATCTTATGTTTTATTAGAGTGAAAGAATTGTCAGTCCAAAGCAATGAAATATTTAAGGTATATGTAACACATTTTTTGGAGGGAGCTTGTGCATATTTTTCATGAGATTGCTTTTGAACTCATAACACACCAAATTCCATTTACACTCTAATTTTTCCTTATGGATAACATAGGTTTTTTTTTGTTGTTGTTGTTTTGCTTTTTGTTTTTGTTTTAATTTTAGTTTAATTCCCATTGGAATAAGTGTTGAATGACCAACAAGACATTAACTTTCTTTCTCCATATGGGACAAACCTTTGGGACCCTTCCTGACCCATTACCAGTGCCCTTCAGTTGGCAGTAGATCATTTTAGATGAAAACATACTCTAGTATAAGCATTTAGAAATCATTATGTCTCTACTGTGAGTGGTAGCCTTATTCAGAAGATAATTCATATACTTTGTGTCACTGCTTTTTTTGTGCCATTCACAGGTCGTACTGATTTTGCAATATATTCTTTGTGATGCAAACAACACATCTTAATAATGTTTTCCTTTTTGCTTTTATAACTTGATCTGTTTCTTCAGAAAAACAAATATTTATGAGCCACAAAATAAAAACACCTAATAATTTTTGATAGAAATAACCTTGGGTTCATTATTTGCTTGCTCATACCTGTGTTTTCTCATCTGTCAAGTTTTAATGATTTCCTAGGTCATCTAACATGTTAGTTTTATATTTCTAAAAACAGCCCTAATGAAGGAAAGGCATGAAGTTTGAAGAACAAATAAACATGATACACGCACACACACACACACACGCACATGAGAATTGGCTACAGGTCTCTTTTAGAATTAAGTAAAGTCTATTTTTATTTCCTTTTCCTTTGTCTCCCTTGCCCACTATCAGAAACTAGGATGCTGTTTAGGCTGAAAATTTAACAAGCTAAGTACCAGGGAGGCTTAATTTTTTCCGATTTAAAAATCCAAATAGGCAGTCTTGGGTTAGTATGATGGCTTTATGATGTTGGAGGTCCAGACTTCTCTAATCATGTTGCTTTGCCATTTTTAATAGGCAGTTTTTATCTCACGGTCCAAGAAGGCTGCTCTAGCTTTACTGTATGTTTACCTTTTAGGCAACAGGACTGAGTTAAGGAGAAAATAAAGAGCATGTCCATTTTCTTTAAGGCCATGATGCTTACATCACATTGTCCAGAACTAAGTCACAAAGCTTCACCTAGCTGCAAGGGAATCTTTAGCTGTGTCCTATGCCCAGAAATTTCCATTACTGTGTAAAATGGGAAGGAGGGATATTGAAGGACAGCTAGCACTCCCTGCATGTTAACATTAAGAGAGATTGAAGCATCATTTAGAAGGGTTCATTTTATTGTTACAGGGGTATTTCTGTAGTATTTTCCTTACAAATAATTGTTTCAGTCATATTTTAGTTCTCAAAATGTTGCAAAGTACAGTGAGGAACAGGCTAATTTGTGTCTTGCTGTATATTGTAGCTTTTTAAGTAAAAAAATGCATTCCAAGTTCAAACAACTTTCCTACAGTAATTTAATTTTCATTCTCAGATGTATAAAAATGAGGTAAAATAAGTTAGCTAAAAGCAGCCAAAGTTGTTTGTAAAAACACTAGTCCAAAATCCTTTATTATTACCATGTGTTCCTGTGGTTTGGGGACTTTGAATTCAAACGGGTATTTCCAGATGAAATATCAGAATTTGAGCATTTATTGTGATGCTCTGCGAAAGACTTTGTCAAAGATAGTAATGGCTTTCAGGTTTGTTGGACTATGGGTTGCAAATGTGTTGTTTGAATGCCTGGAAAAAAAAATAGTATTCTTTATTTCTGTGATAGAAATATTTAGTATACATCTGTCATTTTTATATTAAACACTTTATAATTTCCTGACCTCTTTGGAATGTGGGAACTAAACCAGTAATATATGTAGCACAGAAATTCTGCTCAAAGTAGATCTTCTCTAGTTAAGCCATAAAAGACATTAGAATTTTTAACTTAAGAAAATTATTAATTTTTAGCTATACTTTTTTTTTTTTTATTGATTTGACAGACAGAGATCACAAGTAGAC